AATTCTTGTCTTCAACTACATATATACATACCGCCAAATCCCGAATGCACAAATTAAACTTGGGACAAAAGATTTGAAATTTATCGCATCCAAATTATTATGACATCACAAACTATTCAAGTGCACCATATTAAATCCATTTTCATCAGATTCATAATATAATAACAATATCAGTATGTTCACCTTGTAGCATTGTTCACAAGCTCCTACACTCTGCATTCACTCTTTAAATTAACAAAATTTACATATATAATATATATATAATATATGAGTTGTAGTAATTATAGTAATGTAGTATAAATATATACAGTGTATATATATACACACCATTAAAATAGGTAAATTTATATAGATGATGATGAACTTGGAAATTAATATTTCTATTGTAAATTGTTGTAGAACTAATAATAGAAAATGCAAAGTTAAGTAGACAATTAGATCTGGTCCAAGAAGATAATAAATAATATTGATTGAATTATAATCCCAATAATTTGGGATTAATGTTGTTTGACGAAATGTTGCCAAGGTTGTAAAACTATTATGTCAAATTCGCTGCCAAATGACGCTAACAAATTCAAACATTTCTTACATTAATATTAATTACGTGATCAATGATCATGGTAGATAAAATTATTATCAAATGAAAATTTTACGCAAAACTTTTTTATCAAATTACTGTGTAAATAATTATGGAAGTTACTTTACAATAATAATAATCTTTAACTTTATCCGTGACCAACGAAAATTTCATTACTTGAATGGGAACAATGTCTTCACTTGAAAAAGCAGAAGAAAATAAAACTCTGATGGAATAATTAATCTTTAAGAATCATTAATAAACTTTTAAAAATAAAAAATAATAATAAAACGTTGTCTTTATTTTCTTTGTTTGATAAAGAGCAACAAGTATATTTGGTTAGTGCTTTGGTAAAAGGTAATAATTGTGAAGCATTGGTAAAAAGCCACGTTTTATTTGCTTTAGTGAGCAAGCAAAGTTAGGTCTAATGTTGATTGGCTAGTGAATGTTAACAACAGTTAATGAAGTATCGTAATCAGCCAATAAATATAAATGAATGAAATAAATCAATCACAAGTGAATAAAAGGAACTTTTATAGAAGCTCAAGGGCATTGTAAAAGGTTATGTGGTACCATTAAATGCGCTTACAATTCATCTAGATGCAAGTAATCAGAACTAAAGTAAATTCCTAAAATAATTGATTGACAAGCACCGAATTATTGAGTTACTTGCAATTAACTGACAAGAATAGCCCATAATTGTTAATTAACTGAGGTAAAAGATTTATTATTTCAAAACATTGTTATGCTTTATGAAACAAAATAAAGATAATTAAAAAGATAATTATAATAATAAATTTATAGTGAGATTAAATTAGTCATTCATCAATCAATTCTTTCTTTACTATTATTACTAACTATAATCTATATTAATTAATTAATTAATTAATATCGTTAGTAATATTTAACGAGTAGTAATTTCCAATTAATTAATAATGAAATTTTTATTCACATTTTAGAGAAAAGAATCAAAATCAAGATTATTTAACGAACTATCATTACTTGTATAACCTTTTAAGCTTTTAGATTTAGCAATCTCTTCATCTAATATTCTACTTGTGTGATATGCATCTGGATGTGATTTGTGTACTTGTTGCAAAGCACTACTACCACCACTACTATTATTATCATTATTAATATCAATTTCATGTTTTTTGATTTTAGAAAATTTAAATAATCTTTTTATTAAACTATTATTGCTACTATTATTTTTTAAACTTTTATTTTTAAAAATTTCGTTTCGTTTATTATCAGCAAATATCAAAAGCTCTTCAATAGTTGGTCTTTTTGATGAATCCACATCCCAACACCTCTGCATCATTTGCACATAATCACCAGGCATTTCAGGTAATATTGGTGGTCGTAAACCTTCACATATATCAAAAATCAAACGATGATTGTGAGCTCTATTGTCAAATGGTGGATGACCTGCAAATATTTCCCACATTAACATCCCAACACTATAGATATCAGATTCTTTGGTGTTTTTTTTTGCCTCTAAGTACTTCGGGTGCAACATATGATACAATCCCATAGACTTTATCTGATGATTTTTCATCAACTGGTCCACATAACCCCAAATCTGTAATATAACAATTACCTCCTTGCACAAGTATATTACCGCTGTGTAAATCACAATGGATTAAATCTTTTTTATGTATCTGATATAATGATCTGCATAAATAATAAAATATTGTAATTCTGTCTTTTAATGTTAACGTTAGATTTTTTTGTAAATAACCCCTTAAATTTCCATCTAAATAATAATTCATCGCCTGAAAATAAATAAAATCAATTAGTATTTATTATATAATACAGTATTGTTTATTTTGTTTTAAATGACAACCACCAACCTCATCAAAAAATGCTTTTCCTGGATTACTTGAATTATTTAAACTTTTTAATACTACTAGTTGCTCTTCTAAATAACTAAATTCCTTTTTATTTTCGTTGTAATCAACTATTCTTCCTCTTGTCCATGCAGCAGTATAAATTGAACTAAATCCACCTTCTGCCAATTTTGTTACTTTTATGAATTGCTCAAAAGGTATCCATTCTAAAATATATGTTGGCAGAGATGATTTCATTTGACATTGTTGAATAAAGTTATCAACTATGTTATTTCCAGATGTCCAAGTAGTGAAAAGACTCTGTAATTGTAAACTAATACAACCTTCACAGAACCTGTCAGAGTATCTTGTCAATTTACACTTGTAACATTCTTTTGGTTTGCCTTCTTTATAAGTTACATTATTTAATTCAAACTCATAAATAAACTTTTGCTTACAATATTCTTTTTCATTTTCAGAAAGCTCCTTGTTTTTTTTGACCAATGAAAAAAAATAGTCTTTTCTATTTTCTTTAGCATTAGCATTAGCATTGTTACGCATTTCATTATTAATTTTAAATACAAATTCCGTCCTTTCTGTTGATGATGATAACAATTTATCATATGACATTATTATAAAATATAAAACTTTGACTTATCGTTTTAATATTAATGAATAAAATGCGGAGAATTGAATAACGTGTAACAAACAAATTTTTCTAACAGGATTAATATTAATTGATGTAAATTGAAAAGCGAAAATTGCATTATTTAAAGAACAACTTCATCATCACCAAACTCTAGTGATCGATTTATCATGAATCAACAATAAAAGAAATTCTTTAAAGATTTAAAGTGACAAAAATAGAAAATTTACCAAAACTTGTCTTATGTGCTATATGTAAAGGTCGTTCTAAGTGCCAATATTGACCAACCTATGTTGCTTCAAACTCAGACACTAAAGACAGCTCAAGCACATTATTAATATTATTATTACACGTAGTTCTGTAGTTAACTTCAAAGTCAATGATTCGAAAACACATCAATTTAACACAACTCATATGTATCTAAAGACAATTTGATTTTATGAAATGTAATAATAAAAAGAATGGTTTTTATTTGAAAGAAAATATAAGGAAAGAATTAAGTAGTTTAATCAAATAAAATTTCTAATTCAAACTATGACATTTGTAAATTTTCCATGATAATTATTCTTTTTGCATCATTGCAATATACATACAATGAATGATATAATAATTCTTTATTCGCATAATTTGGAACTTTGATAATCCTATTTTATCATTATCGTTATTGCTGCTTGTATCAAGTGATTTTACTTGTATCAAGCGGTTTTTAATTACGTCAATTGGTTTTACTTACGTCAAGGGTTTTTACTTTAGTCAAATCGTCAAAATGGCCTTGGTGAGAAACTACCTTTAGTCAATACTTTAATTTCGTCAATGACTAAAATCAAAAGTTTCGTCATACATCATTAGTCACGATCATATTTGTAAGAAAACGTGTTGATATTTTATATCATTATGCAAAATCACTATATTATTAAAATATTTTTTTGCATTTTATCTAATTTAGTACTCAATTCTGGGATATGAAAGATTGTGAAAACAGGGGTTAACTAAATAAAACATAATTAATAAATTGATTTTTTGCATTAAAGTGCATAACTTAATTTCATAATAATAATAACTATCATCATCATCATTATTGATAGTTTATTGCCACATAAAATCATCGTCTCGTCGCAGCTTATGAGTACACTGATTGCTTACAAGTTCTTAATATTTATCATATATAAATTGGTATTAGTGACCTGAAGAACAAGGATTTTGAAAAAGACAAGCAGCAGAATATAAGAAAACATACATGTATGCTGTGCGTGGGATTTGAAAATCTGAGTCAATTTGAAATTCACGCAAATTAGCCAGTCAAAAATTTATATCCAAACACCCTACCCCAAAATTTAATTTTTTGACTCACAACACAACATATACAAAGAGAGAAGAAAAGGTTGGTGGCAAGTCTATTTATTACGATTAGCAGTTATAAATCTGGCATTTAGTGCAATAGATAGATTAAAAAGAAAAGACACAATTTTCCTATTTTGCCTTTCTAAATTATATAAATATTATAAGCCTCTACTCCATATTATTTTTCTTTTCCAAAGATTCCCTTTTTATTAAATAATCATTCATTATCGTTCTGCTTTTTTTTTTTTTAGTATTTAATATTTTCTTTCTTGGTAAACTTGGGTAATTTTTTCTTTTCCTTAGATAATCTTCAAGTCTTGCCCGAATATCAGCTAATTTAAATACATAAGAGGTAATCCTCTCTCCTTGTTCTCTTTTTAAAATTCTTCTGATTTCATATTTATAGAAATAATCCTATGTATCATTTAAGAAAGTAGAGAAAAAAAATCCCTTCCTTGTGTATAAAATTATATTAGCGTGGTGTTTAACGAATTACCGTCACCTTCTTTGTGGCATTGTTGCAGTATTAACAAATCATGTGATACGATCATTAAAAATAAAAATATACACATTTTTTTTTAAAAAAAAAAATTAAAACATAGTAAAGATGATTAATAGACTAAAGCTCTCTACATTAAACGTTGAAAATACAAATACTAATAATAATAGCAATAATAATAACATTAATAGTAATATTATTAATAGTAATACTAGCGATGAATCAAATTTGTGGCAACAAATTCGTTTAAAAACCCTGGCTGTGAGTATTCTATATATATATATGTATATATATAACAAATATTTACATTATTTGTACTCTTATAATTATTTATTTTTTAGGTTGTTAAAGCATATGAAGAGGTCAATAAAGCATATAAAAAAGCAACCTTAGCAGTTGAAGAATTAAAAGCGATTTTGCCACCTGATACGTATATTATATTGCCTGATGATGCTCCAAAAGATATTGATAAATATTTAAATATACCAACAATCTCTTCTAATGTTGATGATGCTAATATTATTAAGCCTAATAGCAGTAATGACAAGATTATTATTATTGGTATTGATGATATTAGTAATACTAATGATACTAATGTTAATAATACTGACGACGTTTATGAAAAATCAAGGACAAATAATGGCAAAATCAATAATAATATCCTTCGTTCAGATACTTTTCCAAAATCGACTTCACAAAAAGATTCAACGAAAAATAACAACAATGACGACAATAAAAATGAAATGAATGATGGATTAGAATTTACTGAAAATCAATTCGAGACAAGAGCTACTACTGCTAGCAATAGAGCTGATAGTGATAATAATTCTTCTAGTAACGACAACACAATTAATATTATTTCTACCAACTTTAGAGTTGGTGATGTTAAAGGAAAAAATAGTGTTGGCAGTGTTAGTGGTGATGGTGAAGAAGAAGATACGGTGAGAGAAACAGCAGTAGGAGAAGTGGGAGGAAGAGAGAATTTATTGAAAAGGAAATCTAAAAACCTAGACAATAAAAAACATAATAAAAAAGTCGTTATAGGTAAAGTAGTAAAAGATAATGAAATGGTAGTAATAGGAGTAGATGTTAGTAGAGATGGTGTAATTGTAGAAGATACCCATGTAGTAGATAATTATGTAAATAAAAGAAAATCAACAACTCCTCTAACTGCCCCAATTACCACAACAGATACCACAACCGATATCACAACCAATGCGATAACCGATACCACAACCAATACTACAGCCAATATCACCACAATCAATATCACACAAACAATTTCAAAATCAATTCCATCGATCACTTTTCCTTCCACATCATTATCGCCTCCTGAATCTGAATCTTCATCACCGTCGTCATTACCATCGATTTCAATTGAAGAACAAAAAATAATCTTGAGAGAATTCAATCACTATTATAGGTTACGTATGTCTGATAAATCTACTACGCAATGGAAGATTGCAAATGAAATACGTGATATTAGTGATGTGAAGATTGCACTTGCACAATCCACTGTCTCAAAGATACTCAGTAAAAATAGTATGCCGAAAGATACCAACACATTAAATGCAATCAAAAAATGGGTTGAAAATGAAAAGAATAAAACCAACAATGTTATTGATGTTGAATAAATTAATATATATATATTACATTTTATTTTTTTTTTTTTTTTTGGTTATTTATATATAGAAAATAAGGTAGAAGAAACTAAAAAAAATTTTAAATTCGTAGACAAATATTTATTTATTTATAAATATATATATTTTAAATAAAATAAAAAATTATAATATTTATATATATAAAAATCTTGATCCAGTCAAGATTTAAAAAAAATTCCTAAAAATAAAATAGAAATAATAATAATGATGATGATATATGTATTTCCGATCATATATAAAAAACAAAACAAAATAATAATATAATATATATGAAAAAAAAAAAATAAATGATTTTGTGTTTCTGGTAAAAGAAAATTTTATCTTTGAATGCCAATTTCGTTTTTTATGATAGATGTATGGATGAATTAATGAATGAATATTGATTAAATATATAAATATATATAAGTATAAATACACATACACACGCAAATATATACTAGAATAAAAAATTGCCATATTATGCTTTTGAATCTTGATTTAAACCAGGTGAATGAACATTAATTGGTGGTAATTGTGGAGGGGGAATAGGCGAATGAGATTGCGAGGGATCAACAGGAGATGATGTTTGTGTATTTTGTTGTGTTGAATGATGAGATCTTTGATGATGGTGCTGTGGTGTAGGTGGTAGTGATATTTGCAATGGTGGAGTAGGTGATGGTGGAGAAGATTGTTGACGTTTATGATGGTTACTATTACTATTACTGATGTTATTATTATTATTATTATTACCATTATGGTTATGATGATTTAGATGATGATTTTGATTATGGTTATTATGAAGTTCTCTATTAATATGTTGATGATTCGACGATGATGTTGTTGGTGAATTATTATTTATCGGAGGCACAGGCATACTAGCACTTCTAGGTTTTAATACATTCATGAATTTTTTTGCAGGATGTTCTTGGTTTCTTTGAACTTTAGCTCTTATAGCCTCCATGACATACTCATGATCAACCTCGTTTTCAGAAGGTCTTGTGCGTTTACTACCAACTGCGCTAGTTGGACTTTGTGAATAAAAACTATGACGGTGGGTTAGAGAAGATGCTGAATGAGGGTGTTCTACACTACTATTAGGATTTGAAAATGAATGATGGCTATGCATAACAGTTGGGGATGAAGATATGATTGGAAATGAAGGAATAGAAAGCGTGAGTGAAGGTTTTTGACTTGTATTGCTAGTAGAAGTATTATTATTGTTGTTGTTGTTGTTGTTGTTGCTGTTGTTATGATGATGATAAGAATGACTTTGAGAATTTGTTGTTGATCCGTATGACATATGATCATGAACATGATTACTGTTATGATTATTAGCTGATGGTGGAGGTGAAAAGTGCGTGGTAGCACTTGTAGGTGTAGTATTAGAGAAATGAGAATCTAAAATAAATAAATATTGTGAATGAATGAGCTAATGAATGAGCGCGTGATGATATGGATGATGATGATGATAGATTATAGATTATAATCCTAAAATAATAGATAATAATTTATCTCATCAAATTACCTAATGGTGGTTGAATAGATAAATAAGGGCTATTCATATCTGACGGAGATTTGCTTTTTGATTCGTATAATAAAAATAAAATCGTAGAAATTATTAATTATTGTTATAAATGTAGATTTGATCAATTATTTCAAAATAATATCAGATATATATATAAATATATAAAATACATACACATTAAAGTTAGCAGTTGATGATGCATTATTTATTGCTATTAATTAATATATATATAAGCTTGTATTAGTAAAAAAATATATTAATATCACTTTTCTATTTCTAATATACTATTTTTTAATATTAATATTATTATTGTTATTACGTGGTGCTCCTGTGAAAATTGTGGGTGGTTTCTTTTGTTCTTTCAACAATTCTAATTCAACTTGTTTACATTGCAACTTAAACTTTTCTGTTTTACACTTTTCTTCTTCAGCCCTTCTCTATAAATAATGTTAATAATGATATTTTTTGATTATTTAAACAAAATAATATATAATAATAATTCTCATAAATGTAAAAAATTTTTTTTGAAATACTTGCCTTGTCCTCTTCAGTCTTTGTTGCTAAAATTAGTTTTAGCAAATCGTTGTCTTCACGATATGTATCCAATATTTCACGAAGGGTTATGTCTGCCTTTGTAATTGTTTGAGCTGGTGAAGGATAAGAATAGGCAGACTGTTGATTCCTTAGCTCTGACATATTTTTTTAAATTTATTATTATTTCCTTAAAAAGATTCTCTCGCTACCAAAAAATTAGATGTATATATATATACACGTATATATTCGAAATTCAACGAATAATAAAAAAAATGAGAGATTTTTTAAAAGAAAATACAAAAACCAAGTTAATCAAATATTTGTTTTTTATACATAATTTTTTTTAAAAAAAAAAAAAGCGTCCAAAAATAGGAAAATAAATAACACAAATTGATCACAAAAGTATTTCTTTTGCAGAATAATTGAGGGTGTAAATGTATGAACACTTGAGGGTTACAGTATACAGCTATATATAACAGCATATGGGGCGCGACAAGCAGAAAGGTGCCAAACTTAGTAAATGATCTTACCGAATTAAGTAAAATTTGACCCAAAAATTCGAACTACAAATTTTCTGGGTCAAAATAATTAAAATGTATTTATGATTAAAAAAATAAATATTTTAATATATACAAAATAATAGCTAATGATCGTTTTGAGGCTTGGGTGAAAGAGGATGAGGGCAATATATACCTTTTTTATTTGGATCTTGTACATGTTCTCTTACATTTTCATAAAGATATCATTGTCTTTCTAAACTATATATGGGGCATGCTTGCAACAAAACCAGACAAAGTGAACATTGGTATTACCAAGGATTTCAGGGTTCAGAATTTTAGTCTTGTTCAATATTCTTACTACAGTGAGGAAATCTCTTCCTCATGTCTACCAATATTTGGTGGATTCAATTTCATTTAATAATTCTTTATTTTTCTCCTGGAGCTTGTTTATTGTGTTTGTCTTGATTTTCTTTTTTTATTATTTTTTATTTCTTTTCTTTTCTTTTAGTGAGGTAATATTCAATGAATTTTATTTAAGAAAAGTTTGGAACATACCTGACTTGGTAAAACAGGGATTGACAGTTTAAGAGGGCACCTTCCAGGAAATGTTATCAGGGCATAGTGTGAAATCTAAAGAAGATATTGTTTAGTATTGTTTAGCAAGGAATTGTTTAAAAATAGTGAAAGATAATTTCAAAAGTAAAGTATAAATGTATATTTGTGGAAATTGTTTTACAATTTAGTGTAAATGAATTGGAAGACATTGTTTTATTGTATTGATACAGGGATTAATTAAATAAATAAATTGAAACCATGAGATTTGGACATTATCTCACAATATGAGGATTGGAAAAGTAAAAAAAAAAGGAGAAATTTCTTTTATTTTGTAAAAAAATAAATTTTTTTTTGCAATTATATTAAAAAAAAATTAGACATGCACATAATACACCAGATTAAATTTTCAGCACTGTATATTAAAGACCAAATTTAGCAAGAGAATAATAGCAACAATAGGAATTATACCCCAAATTCATAAACAATTTTTCCACATCTTTTAAGATCATAAACTGTAATAATCAAAGAATAAATAAACTCATTAATCAAATAACAATTCATATAATGTATTTATATTAATTTAAAGAAATGGATAATACAATATACTGTACCAACATCTAAGGATCAGATTGTTTTACATTTTGTAACTTCTGCATAACTAGTAGAATCCTAAAAATAAATAAAAGATATAAATTAAAGTATTATTATAATAACAAATTAATAGTTATCAATATTACACACTCTAATCACACCACCAAGGAATGTCTTCAATATGTTTTAAGTTTCTTTTGTAAATAGGTGCAGAAATATGTTTTACACCTGCTCTGCAAGCAAGCTTTCTAATGGAGAGCTTACTTATCCCTTGAATATTGTCTTGGTTGATTTTATTGTGGCACTTGTATCCTACTGTTACTCCTTCCCTTTATCATGATTGATTTATTATCAATAATAGAAATATATATATAAGTTTTTAAAAAGAATGAGACCTCAATTATGTACCTTGAAGTACCTGTGATTCTGGCCTTAGTTCTTGATCTGGCTCTATATTTGGCATTTCTTCATGTGATTCTTGAACTGACTCTATATTTGGCATTTCTTCGTGTGATTCTTGATCTGACATTTCTTCATGTGGTTCTAATGATGATAATTCATTCTTTAAAAACCAAACATGTAGGTTAACAAACAACACAAAATAAACAAGTTAATTAACAGAAAATTTGTTAATAACTCACTAATTCTGCCGAAGTAAAATCTTTTATTAACTCAATGATTTTTTTATGATGTTGATTTAAGTTGTATATAATATTATTTTCTTTCAATAAATCTCTGATTATTGTTTCATTGATATTATAGATTCTGCTCAATTCCAATATTGTATTATCCTCTAGTCTTGATATTTGGTCCTGAAAATTTGACAATATTAGTTTTAAAATATAAACAAATCAATTAAATTTTCACATTTGAAAAGAATATAATTTATTTACACCATTAGTTGTAGAGAAAGAGGATGATAATTCTTGTGAAGAGGACATGCTAGTCAAATTCAGTCAGTCTATTAATTCTGAATAATATAACTAGAATGACGAACAACCACCATCATTTTTTTTTTTTAAAAAAAAAATTGATAAAAACAAGTGCATACAGTTCACACTCTCTATAACAGCCTGCCTGATTTGGCAAAAAAAAGGCCATTATAGAGAGAGACCGTTATAGAGAAAATTAAAGCAAAAGGATGCAGAGTATGTTCATTTTATATGATAAAATATTTTTAAAAAAAGTTATCTAGTGTGGATTGTTGTTGTGGGTTAAAATCAATTTTTTTAATTTTCTTTTTTTCAATAATTTAAAATCATTTGGTTGAGTAAAATATGGTCTTTATATATATATGTTTTGAAACATTTATGAAGTCATAAGGAGGTTGATTTTTCTTATGCATATTTACAAATAATTATTATGGCAAAACTTATGAATTAACATTAAGTTCATAGAGTAAGTCATAATGATGTTCTTCTTTTTTATGACCCTTCAAATACAAATAATATATTGTAATGATGATAGATATGAAGTAATGTTTACAAATGTATTTATGCTTGCAATAATAAATGTTTTGTGACAATTAAGGTTGTGGGCAAAACCTCCTTAGTAATTACTGAAACCATGGCAAAACTATGCTGAAATGGTGAAACCTCAAAATGCGAAACTCTGCTGAAACTCTAATAAACAATTAATGTGTACCCTGCTGATTGATTCCTCGAGGAGTTTTGACAAGCAACCTTAGTGACAATAAGTGCATTCAAATTATTAATATTAATAATTGAGCATTAGGGCTTCTATTTGTAATACAAAATCTTATTTGAGTTATTCATAATACTAATAATAATAATAATAGTCAAACAATGTGTGACATTAAATGATTGGGAAGTGTATTTCCAAAATTTTTTGGTGATCAACACCAAAATTCTATTAATAAAATTAGCCACAAACCTTAATTTTAACCCTTTTTTGCTCACCAATCTCCACCAAATTTGAGACTATAGATGCTGGTCACAATTCTTGGTGATGGTTGCAACCATATTTGCAACATATAAAAATGGTTTGTGTCACCTGGTTGCAACCACCTTTGCGACCACTTTGGTTTCCTTTTTTGGATTGTGACATGGAACACTATTTGAGACAGATTTTTTAGGACTTATTCCTTCTTTTGGGAAAAAAATTAGGAGAGGTTATTAATAAAATAGAGAAAAATCTTAGTATTAAAGTTTATCAATAAAATTACCGCATTTGGAAATTAATTGTCTGTTTTTGGTCATTACTCCTGATAATCTCCTGCCCACATTTTTTCCTTTTTGTGTATTGATAAATAAAATTTATCAAATTTAATATGTTTTTTGGAGTTATTTACCATTTTCACCACATAAAGCTATACCTATATGAAAATTTACAATATTTTACATCTTTTCAACCACTCACCAAGTTTATAAAGGTAATATTGGTAAAAAATCTTAGCTATGAAATAAAAAGTAATGATGTTTTTGAATAAACATAGCTTGACATAGAGAGCCTCTATCAATATGGGAGAGAGCTCGTTAGAAAGCTATAATGTCATAGTTTTATTTTTGATTAATACAGTCAAAAAATTTTAAATTCATTATTTATTATTTATTGTCAAGACATGAATCTATCTATTATAGTTTGTTTCATTGTAAGTAATAACTGTTAGTTAATAATAGACAATTATTTTATTTAATTAATTATCATTACCATTTGAAACCTTTAAAGAGTATTACAAACAATTTAATATTTGTTGGATAGAAGATATAAAATAAAATATGGCGAATGAGCAGTTTCAGACATCTTGTAAAGGAAATTAAAAAAGATCAAATAAGAATACAACAAATGTATTCTTGTAAAAAAGATCAAATAAAAATACAACAAATTTTATTCTTGCAAAAAAAGATCAATAAATATATTGTAAAAAAGAAAAGGATCAATGATAAATGTACTCTTGTAAAAAGATCAAACAATGAATGTATTGTAGAAAAAGGAAAAAATTAATGTTTTGTATAAAAATACAAACTTGAACTTTTTGAAAAAAATTCATTATAACATAATGTTGGACGATTTTCATTGCAAATATCATGTGAAGTCATGGGAGTGCATTTAGGGAGGGTGGTTTTATATAGTTGGGAATGAAAAAAGACCATGCAATGCATGTATAGAGGGGTGCACTTATCTCTTAAATCCCAAGCTCGGGAATGAGTGTGAGCGTGCATTTAGAGAGGGTGTGCATTTATGGGGGTGCATATGGGGGGTTGACTGTAATGATGTTTGAATTTGTTATAAAAATAATGGGATATTTAAAAACCTGAGCTGTTACATGAGTTGAATTTTCTATTTTATATATGTAATTACCAGTGTGTAAATTTCAATGTGTAACTAATGCAGATTTCTACAAATTTAGAAACTATCTGCAGAAAACTGCTAATGTACGATGTTACACCCGCACATTCCGCACATTGAATTTTATACACTGGTAATTACACTTCCTGTGAATAATTCCAATAAACCTTATTTGAATAGAAGCCCTAATACTAAGCATGACACACTGAATTTTTTAATTTGGTAATGATTACCTCAGATCATGATCATCAGCCATTATAGACAACATATAAAACATATGAGAAAATTTTTCAGAGGCAGGTCATTATACACTATAGGAAATTTAATCAAGAAAACCATTATAGTAAGGTTTTTATATAGTAAAAATTTGGGTTCTGATTCACAGTGCATTATAGAATGGAGACCATTATAGAAAGGGCCATTATAGAGAGAATGAACTGTACACAATTTATTATTATTTATTGTTAAAAGTGTAAATCAACATTGTTTATCAACATAAATTACACAATGGTCATTGACCTGATGTATTTCAAAAATGAATTAGAATTTTAGTTATTGAATTTTAATTCACCATTTTCTTCAGAATTGCCTATTATAAATCAATCATTAATCAATTGTAGCAAGTCTCTTGATTCTAATTCTCATTCAACTTTTCTCTTATCTTGGATAATCTAACCATTTCTACTTCACTTATTTCTCTTGTATTCCATGTATGAATTATTTGATTGCACTATTAATTACCAAAATCGAAGAAATGAATTTACTAAACAATTTCAGCTACCATTTGACCAATAATTAAAAATCCTCAATGGGAAACTTTAGATATATGGTTGTTGGGTATCTCAGTGCCATCCTTCCCAAACATATCACACTTCTGTGCTTTTTTCTGGTTATCCTGGGGAAGATTATCTTCAAGGATAGAGAAATTAGGATGCATATTCATCTGGATTTTATGTAGGTCATCTGATTTTAATGTGTAACATAAAAATCCATATAGCGACCAAGAGAAAGAGCCACATAACGTTTATAAAAAAAAATGAATGAAGGTATTTTTTTCTTTACATATTTTTAAGAAATATAATATATATAGTAATAGGCAAATTATTTTTTTTTTGTATTATAATAAAATGGTATTTAGCTAAATTTGATAAATATATTTACAACAAAATAATTCTTACTAAAACATCTTATTAAAACATATAATAAATTTAATTAACTTTTACAACACAAATAATTTTTATTAAAACATATCTAACTAAATAAATTTATTTTTTATTTCTTTATAATAACCAGTTGGTAAGCATTATATTATAAATTAACTTTTATAATACAAAATAAACTTTATTAAAACATCATCTAATTAAATAAAATTAATCTTTATTTCTTTATAATAACCAGTTGGCAAGTATTACAACTACAAATTAATTTTTACAACATAAAATAAATTTATCTAATCAATAAACTTATTTTTATTTCTTTATAATAACTAGAGAGTAAATATTATACTATAAATCAACTTTTACAATATAAAATAAATTTTATTAAAACATCATCTAATTAAATGAATTTATTTTTTATTTTTTTATAACAACCAGAGAGTAAGTACTGTACTATACATCAACTTTTACAACACAAAATAAATTTTATTAAAACATTATCTAATTAAATGAATTTAATTTTTATTTCTTTAGAACAACCAGAAGGTAAGTATTATACTATAAATTAACTTTATAAATTTTATTAAAACATCATCTAATTAAATGAATTTTATTTTTATTTCTTTAGAACAACCAGAGAGTAAGTATTATACTATAAATTAACTTTTACAACACCAAATAAATTATCTAATTAAACAAATTTATTTTTTATTATTTATAATAACCAGTTTGTAAGTATTATATGATAAATTAACTTTTACAACACAAATAAATCACCTAATTAAATAAAATTAAATTTTATTTCTTTATAATAACCAGGGAGTAAGTATTATATAATAAATTAACTTTTACAACACAAAATAAACATCATCTAATTAAATAAATTTACTTTTATTTCTTTATAATAACCAGTTAGTAAGTATTATATAATAAATTAACTTTTACAACACAAAATAAACTTTATTAAAACATCACCTAATTAAATAAATTTATTTTTTATTTATACTATAAATTAACTTTTACAACACAAAATAAATTTTATTAAAAAATCATCTTATTAAATAAATTTATTTTTTTATTTATAGATGGTAAGTATTATATTATAAATTAACTTTTACAACACAAAATAAACTTATTAAAACATCATCTAATTAAATAAATTTATTTTTTATTTCTTTATAATAAAAGGGAGTAAGTATTTATAAATTAATTTTTACAACATAAAAGAAACTTTATTAAAGCATCATCTAATTAAATCAATTTATTTTTTGTTTATAGACAGTAAGTATTATATTATAAATTAACTTTTACAACACAAAATAAATTTTATTAAAACATCATCTAATTAAATAAATTTATTTTTTGTTTATAGACAGTTAGTATTATATTATAAATTAACTTTTACAACACAAAATAAATTTTATTAAAACATCTAAATTTATAGATTGTAAGTATTATATTATAAATTAATTTTTACAACACAAAATAAATTTTATTAAAACATCTAAATTTATTTTTGATTTATAGATTGTAAGTATTATATTATAAATTAATTTTTACAACACAAAATAAATTTTATTAAAACATCATCTAATTAAATAATTTTATTTTTTATTTCTTTATAATAACCAGGGGGTAAGTATTTATAAATTAATTTTTACAACACAAAATAAATTTTATTAAAACATCATCTAATTAAATAAATTTATTTTTGATTTCTTTATAATAACCAGTTGGTAAGTATTATACTATAAACTAATTTTTACAACACAAAATAAATTTTATTAAACATTATCTAATTAAATAAATTTAATTTTTATTTCTTTATAAATAACCAGTTGGTAAGCATTATACCATAAGTTAACCTTTACAACTTTTACAACATAAATAAATTTTATTAAAACATCATCTAATTAAATATATTTTATTTTATTCCTTTATAATAATAACCAGATTGTAAGTATTATAACTTTTACAACACAAAATAAATTTATTAAAAAATCATCTAATTAATAAATTTATTTTTTATTATTTACAATAACCAGCTGGTAGGTATTATATTATAAATTAATTTTTCAACTCAATTTTTATTATAACATTACCTAATTAAATCTATATGATTGTTACTTTTTATAATAACCAGGAGGTAAGTATTATATTATTAATTTACTTTTATAATAAACCATCTAAAGCCAAATCAATTGATTTTTATTTAGATAGTTTAATAAACAAATTAACTAACAAATTAAATAATGAATTGAATGATGAATCAGTTGGATTAATTAATTTATCAAATAAGTTACTTGAAACATTAAAAATATTAAAAAGTTGTTTTGTTTGTGAAAAAAATTTATTAAATAATGAAGTCAAAGTTTTACTTAGTAAATTAATAGGAATAAATTCAAAAATGTTTGATAAATTATCTGGAGAAATATCTGGATTAGATATTCAATTAAATAATAAATTATGTAATAGTTGCTAAGAAAGAAAAATAGAAAAATCAATTAACGAATGTGGAAATAAAGAAATGGCTAGATTTCTTTATCAATATAAATCAGATTCAAAAACTATTAAATGGATTCCATTTAATGAATTGGAAAATATTGAGTACCTAGCTCAAGGTGGATTTAGCAAAGTTTATAAAGCAACATGGATTAATCATTATGAACCATTTTTCAGAAATTTGGGAAAAAAACTGTTGTATTAAAAAGATTAAATCATTCTATAAATTATATCTTTGGTATTTTCAAGGAGGTAAAATATTTAAAATTTTATTTTTTATAAAATATTATTATTAAATTTTAATAATTCATAACAAATATAATTTTTAGTTAGAAGCAAATGATAAACTTTATTTTTCTGTTAATAAATGTTTTGGAATTACAAAACATCCAAATGAAAATGATTATATGTTGGTATTTGAACATGCCCCAAATGGAGATTTACATAATTATTTATCAAAAAATTTCAAAGAAATTACTTGGGAAAAAAAGATTGCTTCACTTCTTCAGATTTCACTTGGGTAAATTTTAAAATTACTATTATTTATTATTTTTTATAATATAATACAATTAATCAATTTATTTATTAATAGATTAAAGAATATTCATGATAATAATTACATTCATCAGGACTTGCACAGTGGCAATATTTTTTCATATTATGATAATAAGAGTGTTATAGGAGATTTAGGGTTATGTCAACAAGAAATAAACAAAAAAGAAAATCCAAATAAAATTTATGGTGTTATGCCATACTTGGCACCAGAAGTTTTATTACAAAAGCCATATACAAAAGAATCAGATGTTTATAGTTTTGGTATGGTTATGTGGGAACATACTACAGGCAAAAAACCATTCTACAATATTCCATATGATTATCACCTTGCAGCATATATTCTGGAGGGGAAGACCTCAAATTACTGAAGACACACCTCAATTCTATGCTGATTTAATGCAAAGATGTTGGGACCCTAACTCAGAAAATCGACCTAAGGCTGAAGAAATTAATAGTATTTTGAGAAAATATTATTCTTCTCATCCTCTAACATTAGAAATGGATATTATTAATTCTGCAGAAGTTAAACGTTTAGAAATTATCAATTCAAAAAAATATTTGTCAGATGAAAATGGTTATTATCATCATCCAAAATCATATTTTACAAGTTGTTCACTAAATGAAATTATTGAACAAGTTAATGAATTGAGGATTTTTAGTAAAAATAATGGTAATTATTTGATTGTTAATTTTAAAATTCAAATATTAACATTAACATTAACATTAACATTATTATAAATGGGGCATGCTGCAACAAAACCAAACAAAGTGAACATTTTATCATGTCATTTTGATTATTCAGTAGAAAAACGTCTACCCTAAAAGCAATAAAATTAAATAATATAAATAAGATAAAATAATTAGAAATGTGATAACTTTTATTATAAAGATATGGCATGAAAAATTGCAAGCTTTGTAAAGATATTTATTAATTAAAAATTTTTTTAATTTTTATGTGCAAATTGACTATAACCATGATGTAGGATTATTAACTTTTGCTATTAAATAATTTAGTAAGTTTTCATTATCATCATAACATAATGATTCTATTTCACATTTTTTGTTAGAATTTAGGATTTCTTGTATTTCATTTCTATTGTTTTAACAATTAATTTGATAACAATAGTGATGAATGATTGGTAATTTTATTAAAAAAATTAAAAAAATCTTTTTACCTCCAAGTTTCTGGTAAATATTCTTTTTTTAATAAATCTTTTGATTTTTTTTTATCATTACTTGTTAATTTAATAAATAAATTTTCAGAAATATTGTTACTAAATAAAAAATATTTGTGAAAATTAATTATTACATGTGGTATTAACTGTAGTAACAATAGTACAGTAGCATAACTTGAAAATTTTTATAATAAATAATAATTTTCTTACTGTTCTCTATCAATATGGTGTAAACCAATCCATTGTAAACGTGAGATTGCCCAATTTTTGTTCTCAAATAACTTTGTCTAGAAAGATTTTTTTAAATAATTATAACTAATATGTTTGTATTTATAATTATGATGTTAAGATGTTATTTTACTGGAGCACCATATTTGTACAAATTCAAAATATCAATGCCTAATTTAAAATGAATGAAAAACGAATAAATCACAATGATTTTAGTAAATAATCATTATAAAGTACCAAATATATATTTACCATAAGGATCGTTGTCAAAAAAACCTAAAATAGGAATTTCACTTTTTAGGTCACTAAGCAGTTTTATTAAATGCCGAGTTGCAAAATCCTTTTGAATAGAACCAAAAAATAAATTAATATTTCCTCTTTTTAGAAATAAATAAATTTTATATACATATTTTTATAACTTACAGGATAGCCTTTTCCCTATAAAAAATTTTTTTTAAAAAAAAGAAAGTTTATTATTCATTCAATCAACTTTTACACTGAAAATAATGATACGTAGTCAACACTGTTAGTCTGAAATCTCCATTAAAATGTATTTTTTTAAAACAAAAAGTCAAAAGATATGCAGATCCTTCCAAAATCACACATTGAACAGTAATTATTATCTGTATAAACTGTTAATTGAATATCAATTTTTTTAAAAAATATTTTTGAAACACTTATTTTAAATTGCCTTGATAATCCAAAGAAAAAGTGGCATGTACCAACCCTTCAGACTAACAGGGTTGACTATGTATATCAGAATAATATATTGACAAATACTTACTGCGATTAAAATGCAGGATTCTAACTTTTGAAAAATATTGTTTGATAATAGTGTTTGAAGAGTTGCCTAAATAATTAATAATAATAACAAGATTAATTAAATAATTCAATATTGTTTAGTGTTCCATGTCGCGATCTAAAAAAGGAAAGAAAATGGTCACAAAGGTGGTTGCAACCACCATCAAAAATTGCAACCAGAAACTATAATATTGTTATAATTTCAAAAATCAGTATTAACATCTTTTTCCATGACAATGATGTATTTAGCTTGGGTTACGATCTGTATTAGATAAATTCATTAACGATAATAATCATAATTATAATAAATCACAATATCTATAATAACAATAAAGGATATCATAGTCTGCATTAGGATCAATTGATTGTATAAGAATTCCATTTGATGATAAATTTCTTGAGGAGTCCACTACAATTTGATCATTTTTAAATATCTTTAAGTCGCCTGCAATTATACCTTTTGCAGATGCAATCTTTTATTAATCAATTTGAAAGAATAATTAATAATAAAATTAAATATTATGTTATATATAAATATCATTTTATTTTCTTTTTTACCACATTTAAGCAGTATCTCGGAATTTTTAAAAAGCAGCATAGTTCATTGATAGCCTTCATTATTAAAATTCATTATTAAACATCAAATTATTTTTCTAACCAAAAAAAAAATATTATTATTTAATAATATAACAAATCTTTACTCTGTCAACTCTATTTTGAGAACCAAACAACCCGACATCTCTGTAGTAAATCCCGCTATTAGTAACGTTATGTATATAGAAAGAAATAAATAATGTTTTTAATTTTCTTCTTTCTATTTTTTTTATCTAATAATAATATAATACAGCCTACCGTTTAGTCACTTTAATTTCTTTCGTAATAAGTTCGTGACAGATGTTAAGTATTCTTAACAATATATCAAGATTTTTGTTGTTCTTCCTTGATATTAATTTCTTGATTTCATAATCGTCATTATTCTTTTCATTTATCCTATTTATCATTGATTCGACTTTTTTTAAGATACCATCCCTAAAAAATTATTGAATCAAAATTAACAAAATTTAAGGTCTATTTATTGTTTCCACTATCAAAAATTACCTAGTGACATCCGATGTTTCGTGCACGTCGAATGGTGTTTCATCCGATATTTCACCCACATCAAATGATGTTTCATTATTTGAAACATCTACTAGAATTTTTTTAGAACTTATACGACGCTCGAAAGAAGAATTGTTTAAAAAAACATTTTCCTATTGTTAAAATTGTGTTAATAAAATCAGAATAATACCAAAATAGTCATTATTACCCATTCAAAGAGAATATAATTTACTTATCACTTACTTTATTATTTAAAAATGAAAGATTTCCTACTTCACTAAAAAAATTTTAACTTTTGTTAGTAATTAATACAATGATGACACGTTGCAACGATCGTAACCACCATCACCATTCTTTTTTTAAACACTTACTTTTTCTCATTTTCTTTAAAATAATCGATTTTTCTCTTTCTGTCCCTATTTTTGTCTGGCATATTTATTTATTTTAAATTTTTTTCTATCTATTTAAACTTCTGTTTTAAAAACAAATGAAAAAAATTTTGTTATACAGTATATATGATTATATGATCGACATACATGAATAATTATTACAGTATTGTGTATGGGTTGTACGAAGAATTATACGCGATTGAATTTTTTTTTTGGAAAAACAAGAAAGCGCGAATGTTGTTGCTTGGTATGGCTTGTTCTGGAGAAGACATGTTGTTTATTGATGGCGAGAGGTACACAATTTTTGTTGCATTGTATTTTTTTTTTATCGTTTTATAAATATTGTTAATAATATGTGTTTTTTATTTTGTATAAATATTATTGCAAAATCAAACTGTGGAGGCAGAACTTGTATTTACAAGATTCTTTATGATAAACGATTGGTATCGTTTTGCTTTTCGTAATCGATATTGATATTAATAATATTAAATAATAAGAAGATGCCAAAACGATACAACTGTTGCAGATGAGGAATGAAGGGAAACAATTCGATATGCGACATTTTCATAATTGTAAATTGGCAGACGTCAAGGCGCACGCGCTACTTGAACACCTTACAGTCATTCTCACATTCCTCATGTCCAAAAGGCCAATCTGACTTGAAGACCTAAAGATATGGTGATGCAGCTAAATTCCAGGAGGCGCTTGTGCCTGGAATTTATAAAAGCTTGCATCATTGTTAAGGATACACTTGCATGAATCCTACCTGATTTTCCCTTATGACATTTGACCAGAGAAAGCTGCAAGCATGCTAATTGAAAAGTGGCTGGCTATGCAACCAGCAAGTTGCAACCCTGGATGTTGCAACTTGATCAAAGAGTTGTGATTTTAGGTGTACATCAACATCTAGATTTATCAAGGCAGTGAGAAACTGCAACTCAAGCTCAGGCAAGAATTTGCAATTCAGAGTGGGATTGGGAACTCTGAAATTGAATTTGCACTCTGATGTTAAGAGGAAAGTCATAAAGTAGTTTTCGTTTAATAATTTTCCTAAATTTTCTCCTTCCTTGATATTAATTGAATTTATAATTTTGGAAGGCCCCCTGTAGATTGAAATTATCACATAATTATATCTTTATCAGCCAAATGCCAAAAATGATCCCTGGTATCAAAGTGGGTTTCTCTGCACTTTTTTCAAAAAGGATCAACAAGAGAAAAGCCACAAAACAGTTTGGATTTTGGTATGTTTTGCACAGATTAATCATTTTTTTGAAATTTTATTTTTCTTGGTAAATTTTTAATTTGGTTAACCAATTTTATTGTTTTTTAAACAGGGTAGTGACTGAACTTTTGCCCAAATCATTCCTTACCCTAAGTAGGTGTGCTCTGACGAAACAGTAACCCAGGTTGCAACCTCCTCAGTTGCAGACACCAATTTTATTCTAGAGAGGTATAACACAATGCAATCATCACACAAATGCTGATCTTCATCAGCAATCAATGCCCATATATGTAACAGCCAAGCCTGGTCTGGGAAAGATAGGGAAAAGTTTTGTCCAAAGCCTTCCAACATGTTTAAGTCGGTTTCACCTGTGGAAAACATTCCATGGTGCTGAATTGTGCTTAGTTGCACGGTCTTTCATGTTTGTGATAGGAAAATTTCAATTAAATCTGACGCCTGTGATTCAACATCAGATTTATTATTCATAAGGAACCATAATTTATTTTGTGAACCCCAGAGACAGGCATTATTAAAAGCCTTGTTTATGCATGGCCTTGGTATCATTACTACCTGGGTGATGCAATTGTTTGTTATGCCAATGATGATATCAAATGTATTGAATAATAATCATGACCATCATGAATATTTGATGGATGGAGGCATTCACATACAAAGAAATGATTAAATAGCTAAGTCTTGTTTATATTTTATCTATATAATTAATTACATTTAAAAAATTATTATTTTATTTCAATGGCATTAATTTCAATAATTCTGAAATTGTTTGTTTCTTAGTGTTAATGATTGAATCAATCACACAAGTGATAGTCAGTTTAGATGGCTTTTTTTAAAAAAGGTTTGGTTGAATTAATGTTATTAAATGTTTTTTTTGATACATCAAACTCAGTCCAAAATCTATCATATTTTTATTTTTGAAATTTCTTTTTGATTAAAAAAAAAATTTTTCAAACATTTGTTTATTTTTTTTTTGGTACATTTCAATTAGACTTTATTAGGTCAAATGATACATTCAGCAAGAATCTCAGAAGACTACATTGTGCATTAATTCTAAGATAAAAAAATCTGTTTTAATGTTTTAGTATAATCAACAATTT